TCAATACTTTTTTTATACAGCAGTAAAACTCCTATGAGGAAATTGAGAACCGTATTTGAAAACACAAATTAAGTTTCTAGCTATCCCTACTAACAATGCGCAAATAAAAGAAAAACACATTTAGACAACTACTTTACAGAAAACAGAGAGAAGTAATTATTGTGAAAAGTACATATTCTGGGATATGACACTGCTATCATAATTTCAAATACAAGTGATTATCATATTTATTCCTACTTGATAAAATCTGTTACTATATAAAAAACCCAGTGATATTAAAAATGGTTTGATTTTTACATTGAAAATTTTACAGCGTTCTATTTCAGTAAATAATTAAATAAAGAACATAAATATATTTGCCTTTGAGTGAAAATGTCACCTAAACCCAGAAACAAAACTGGTTCTCTAGATGCCTGGGGCATAAAAACAATTCAGGTCACCAAGATAGCTCACAGAAAGATTGAAATATTCTTCACTTATAGACACTCGAAGCAGAAGAGATTAAAATATATTTTTATAACAGCAGGGCTAGAAGAAACATTTAGGAAATGCACTGGCCCCACACTGCAAATCTCTTCTCCTGGCTTATATGCATATCAATCTCCATTACTGTTCCCAGAGCTGAAGCATCATAGGTGATGAGGGAACACAGATGTGTATGACAGCATGAAACACAAGGAAATAACAATGATGAAATTCCAGACACCTCCGTGAAAGAATACGACTAATCAAGGAATTAACCCCAACCAGAACTGCCAAAGTATATGGAGATCCACAGCTATCACCATTAAAATATCTAAAAGAAACGGGAATGTGAGTGACAAAGAAGCTACAGAAGGTTCAAACCTTGGTAATCGGGAGTAAATCCAAGGAGTCAAGCACTCAGATCTGGATAAATTACTTGAATGACTTTTCTATGCTACTACCAATAGAATTCCTTGGAATATCTACCACTGAAGCGAAAAAAAAAAGTTATACTTCACTAAAAAATTGCGAGCTTAAATGACCAAATGAGCGGCCTCCGTAGTCTGGGGGTTACATTCCCACCTCATGACTCAAGGTATGCAGGTTCAAACCTGGCGGAGGTCGTGGAATTTTTAAGGGCGGAAAAATTCAGGGAAAAAGCCCTCTGGGAGGGACTTTAAGCCGTGGGTCCCGTGTCACAGATTTATGGCACGCAAAAGAACCTCATGTCTCTAGGAGACCTCTGAACAAAATTATTAGGTAAAAACTTTCCCGCCAAAGTAGTTTTCAATGCCTCTGGTAGATGGGGGGAAGTATCAATGTACCTAGGGCCGACCTCGTTGGCTCAACAGGGCTGATAGCATGCACCGTCTACCGGTAGGGTATGGGGACACTAGAAATTAAAGGGGGATGCACAATGGACCAATAACTGGTCTAAGTGCATGGGGAAACCCACCCCCTCCAATAATAATAAATAAATGACCAAATGACTTGCTGCAAAGATTTAAGCAGCAGAATAATAGTGTCACGGCGAAACACTGATGAACATTAAGACTATACAGTATGTAAAATCTGCTTATAAGTGGTACTAATATAAACAACTCACATAACACACTCATTGTGCACAAAACAGCAATATTTGAAAGTGATCAACCTAAGGAACATTGCTTAAAATACACTGAGTTAACGTTTTCCTTCATGTCTAGGAGGCAGTGAAAGTGTCTCAAGGCAACTCAGAAAGTGATTCTGACTCAGTGGTATAGTTTTTTGCCCACACTTCAATGATATTATGCTACTCCATTTCTTAGAAGTGTCTAGCACTCTTCTTTAAACTAAATAACTTACTCATACAAAGTGACATAAATATTATTAAAATAAGAAGAGGGCTGTATTCATTAGACAATGAGCTTAAGTAACAGAAAGATATCAAAGTGCTATTTGTGGCAGATCTTAGATGTTCCCATTGAGTCCAATGGGGAAATTTTGTTAAATTTACGTTATTTTACCTTCAGCAACCTACTTGGAACACAATGTAAAAGTTGTTTTGAGACATATGAAGACTCCCACAGAGAGAAACTGTTTTATACTTCCATAAACAATAATATCAGAGGACCAGTCATATTAACTTGTGAAAGCTGTATATTAACACTCAAGTAAATGTTGTGATGTTAATTTAAGAAATTTAAGCACTGTAATATACCTACGCATCTGCCAATTTTAGAACTGCTGTTTAAAGTTTATTACCAGCTGAATACAGTGCTGCCACAGCTACAAACATATTAACTCCAATGTTCAGAAGGTGAATCCCTAAGAAAAACTGCATACTTAAAAAGTTTGCATTTTCTTTGCCAACCACTTAAAAATTAACAAGGTTTTACTGCAATAACTATAATTTCACTGGTCCTTTTTTTTTATTACATAACTGTCCAAGCCGCCAGAATAATAATTATTATTCTGGCTTGGACAGTATGGTAATAAAAAAAAGGACCAGTGAAATTATAGTTATTGCAGTAAAACCTTGTTAATTTTTAAGTGGTTGGCAAAGTTTCTTATTATAATAAGAAACTAGTAATACTGACTGACAGTCTGAAAAATCATCCTCAAAATTATGAAAACATTTGACTAGTGTTCTAACATCATTGAGACACTTGCTTACATTAAATGGGTACATTCCCATCACCAAACTGTTTTCTTTTTCCACAGATGCAACAATCAGTATATATTGATGAGAAAAAGGAATTGTTCTTAAGCATAACAACAGAGAAAACAGCTATTATTTAAAAAGGAATTATCATGAGCTTCTTTATATATTTTGAATAGTATCCAAAAACAACATTACTACAAAATGAACAGTGCTCAAGTAGAAATATTAAACTAGAGATTAATTAAACCTCTATTTATGGTCACCAGACATTCTATAATTTCTGGGACAGTATCATTTTAATACACAGTATTCTGGAATCCCATACAAAGTTTGCAGAACAGTTAATTGTTCTAGACTGACAATATGAACAAAATCAAATTTTGGAGAGATTCACTGCTGTTTATTTTACAGCACATCATGAACCACTAAGGTTACGTGCAATAAAAAATATGGAGGAGATTATGCAAATGAATATGTAAGAATAAGGTAGGAAGGCAGTCATGGACAACTTCAATATTATACTAGCATTTATCAGAGTAATTCTGCAAAACAAGCAACCTCAGTCAGGAAATCTGGTCCTTGCCTGGGACTGGAACCAGAAAACCTCTCAAGTGTCAGATGCATTTTCACTCTGCTCATACTTTCAAGTGGCAATGTTCAAATTCAATTTTATTCTCTTATGTATAATAATTCTGTTATGAACCTTACTGAGCGATAAAATAAGAAGTACTGATACAAAAAATCAATCAGGAAAAGAATAAATGGTGAAAGAGACACAAGAATCTCAAATGAAATGGCATAATCATGTTGAAAGGATGCTTCCAGAATATTTTCCACAGCAAGCATATTTTTATCACCCTACTGAAAGATGGAGCATTGTACATCTGAAAACAAGTTGTCCAATTGGCTGAAGAACACGCATAATCATTTTATCGTTTAACCTTCGGTATCATTAAATTCCTTTTGCATCTGGGTAGTAACAATATCAATTCTGAAGAAAGGTAAACTCTGGCCAGCTTGACTGTACAAAGGCTGCATTATACTGCATTGCTGTGTAAGGTCATTAAAGATTAATCAGACTATTAACATTAATATTCTCAAGAACTTTAAAATTACTGTATGCAGTTAACATGACCAATACCAAATCTAATACAGAGTAATGCTGACAATCTATCTTTCATCTATTTCCTACTAAACAATATGGTGTTCACAGTCATCATACTTCCTTTATATTTGTGTTCCATCAAGATCAGATATTCTGAAATGTTTACTGACCGCAACAGCCCCAATGAGTGGGTTCATGTAACAGTAATGTTCTAGCCTAGTACCTGGGAGGTGATTGGTTTGAATTTTTAGCTAATCTTCCTCAGTCCCTCCAGGAAAATAAGGACATGACCACTTCCTTCCAAATACCTGCCATCTGAAGCTATATAGCCTAATGTACTGACAGCATCATAAAATAACACCCCTCCCCACAAATTCATCAGATCTTCAGTGTAAATATAAGCTACATTTATTTTGTCTAACCTGGATTTCACTGTTCAAAATGATAATCAAATCTTTCAGTCTGTCATTAAGTAATATTATATTTAATCATCCTGTTGCACTCTATACGATATGTGATATAAACTCCGTCCTAAGAGCAACAATTTATTGTAGGTCTTTCATCTTGCTTTCTTCTACACTATATGTTTCGGCTGCAAACAGCCATTTGTGGCCAAAACATGTACTGTAGAAGAAAGCAAGACGAAAGACCTACAATAAATTGTTGCACTTAGGATGGAGTTTATATCATATATGTCATTAAGTAACCTAAGAATAAGTGACACTTAAGCATCTAGAATTTGTATGCCCAAAATCTGGTCATTATATCATAATATGAAATATACAAACAAAAATCTTATTAAGTTAAATAACTCTAAGCTATCCAATATATCATATTCAAGAACTATTGGTCCATCATTAAACTTAAGAAATAGTGTTTATAAAAAAAACAGATAAAATGTATCAGGAGTGATTTTACATAGGCATAAATTCTTTTAATTATAATCAACTCCACTGCATTTCAATTTGACATTTTTATGTCCATATATATGTATATATATGAATTACATATAAAAGAATTAAATGGCATGTAACTGCTTTATTAAATATTTACAATTTAAATTATATCTAAATTTGATCTTTTCTTCATGACTTTTAACAACCAATATCACAAATTGTATGTAAAATGTATGTATGAATTTGCATCCATGTATATTCATTAAAGTAAATGAAGAAATCACACTTTTAAGTAAAATTACCCTACAAACTACATAACTTGACCAAGAATCCATATCCAAATTGAACTACCAGTTTTTATAACAGATAATTATGTCATGGGTAATTTACCTTGTATAGGAATTAAATTGAATCATTTACTTCTCTTAGGTGAAATATGGCCAAAGGAAAATGGATTTCTTAATTCAAGAAAATGATGTAAGAGCCTACCACAAATCATGCAGCTGGTCTGGCAAAAGGAACATATGCTACTCAGGCATCAACTCATGCCCTGAGTGTTCAGCCTTGTGGTACAGTCGATAGAGAAACAGACTACACACAATACAATTTCTCTTCAGAATCACCCCAAAAAATCCTTGAACAACTCTGTGATATGAGCTTATGTATGATGTGCCTAACGAAAATAATCACAAGACCCTACTACTTCAATAAACTTTCAATCAGTTATGTTACTTCTTATGTTGACACATTAAAAATTAGGATAAGATTCCAGCATACATTTCAGGATGTTACACTGCCAAATAGAAATGTTCTTACAATCATAAATACATTTATATAGGCAGGGTCTTTTGGACAAAAAAGAAAAGAATTGAATCAAACAGCTCATGGAAGAGAAATTGAATGAAACTGGTGCCAGCTTGAATGGTCTCCTCACAAATGTCTTAAATGTCACGTACAAGAGACAAAAGTTCAAAGTTACAGATTTTGTGATTTATGCTTATTCCACTTCCAAAACAGAACTTTAATGTGTGAATGTAACCATATTACAGAGGCACAAAGAATGCAGCATTTCTGGAATCTGCTGTGATCTGGATGAGTTATGTTAGCAATCTGTTGGCCTGCAGATTTGTCAGTTATCCTTCAACTCCAAACATGCATAGAATGAGATGACACAAGGAGCTTGCCTCTCTACCATGGAATATGTTGAACAATTTGTGTCAGGTTTCAAAATAATCTCCCTGCATAAACTTAACATCCAAAGGTTACTATCAAAATATCACAACTGAACCAAATGTGGCAAAATTATTTACTGCTTCAGTGGAGATTACATTTTTTCATTTGGAATATCTCATATTTAATATTAATGTCACTATATACACAAGTTTAATGTATTTCAATTATAAAAGTAATGTCTTGTTCACTTTAACCACTTGACACAAAGGAAAAATCCCATGGTCTGGCATACTTCAGTCTATACCAGACGAGCAGTTGAGAATTCACCCCTATATCTGCAGTTCTCCCTTATCATATATGGCAACAGTGACCGGACAACCAGGATTGGTGGGTTGAAGGGAAAGGAATAATCCACTCTGTTTCATTATGATGCGTGTCCATGTGAATACTGCTACATCTTGTCATCTGTCATCTCCAGAAACTGAGCATACATGTCACGTGAGCATTCTCCCTTGTTGTTGAACATGAATTTGTAGTAACTACCATCCGCACATATCACTGTTAAACAAATAACATACAATGAGAAGAGAAAGAATCTGCATCTTAAGGTACATCCACATTACTCGTGCTTGTGTGACTTGCTATGCTCGCAAGTAATGTGGACCATATGACAAGTCACGAGACAAGCAAATTTAGATTTTTAATTTAAAAACTATAGCCCATAAATTAAAATAGGACTACAACCTATACACACTACAATTAAATATACGGATCCTCACATGCTGAAGACCGGCAAGCAACTGAAGTAGTGTGGACAAAGATTTAGGGGCACAAGTAAAAGCCAGACAAGTCTCCCGATGAGCACAAGCCTGGCGAGCACGAGCACAAGTAATGAGGACATGCCTTTACATAGTGACAGAAAAGTCACACAACCTACTTTCCTCACATGACACTACAGAAGTATATACACAAGGCAAATGCAATCAACGCCAGGAACACATTCCAGGGAGCAGAGTGTTTGGTTCATGACCCTGAGGTATCCAAAGGCTATATCACTTCTGAGTAAATGCTGTAACAGCGAACTTGAGCAATCTGCAAAAGTAAAGTGTGTTCAGTGAGGAGGCATATTTTAACTAAATATCAATTCCAGACTGTCAGAACACATTATCACTTTCAAAGTTTTATGAGAAATTATCAATAAGTGGGCATGTGTGTCTTGATATTTTTGTATAAAAAACAGTAAAAGAATCATCTTGATCTCTACCAGAATAGATAGCATCACATCCCAAAAGACAGTAAGTACTCTTAAGTCATAACCATGAGAACCCCAAATTTCTCATCTTGATTTCAGTTCAAATTCTGATTTTTCATTATCAGACTCTGAGAATATTCAGCTAACTGTATTTAGTTTCCCAGTAGCATGAAAACTACCCAGTCCATGGTAATCACAATGGCTGGTGAAAACAGCAGAAACCCTGTCTCTCCCCCTCTTTCTGCACACACTGCATCTATCTTCCTATATTTCTGTATGTGGCATCAGTATCTGATATCATAAAGGGATAAGCTGTAAACTTTACTAGTGTTTGTAGTGAAAACATCGGACAAATGGGAAATTCTCATTCTTGTCTCAATTATCAGAATTTTTTCAAATCATCATTTCAATTCTCAAAAATTTTCAAAATTATCATCTTGTCTGAGGCTGATAAGTCATTCCAGCACATGCCTAATAAGAAGTGATAATCACTTCTGACACATATTTGTCTCTCACTAAAATGACTGAACAACTTAAAAATTCATTTCTGACTTGCAGCTCCATTTCTAAATGCTATTTGCAACAGATTATTAGTTTCAGTCACTGGCTTTCCAATATCATCACAAAATCTGATGCATTAATGTTCTATATTCTTAAACACTGTTATATCACCATATAACAAAAACACTCTGAATTTATATGCTGGCCATGAATGAATAAAGTAAAGTAAAGTATGTCTCGATATGCAGTAACATGTAAGGGCATACAATTACAGACTTTCGGGCATCATACATCATCCTGTTTTTTTTATTTAAAAACAATGTTTCAGATATTGAATTCTGTCTCTGTCCTCATGTAGAAGCCTACTCAGTTGGGTCCATCAACAGAGTTAATCCCTATCTCCAGAGGACATGTGGTTCTTCACAGTTGCATCACCTGTGCAGTGTGGCTTAGTTGGTTAGTTATTGGAGAGGGTGGGTTTCCCCATACACTTAGACCTGTATTGGTCCATTGTGCTTCCCTCTATGATTTCTACCAGTCTCTATATCCTACCGGTATTGGTGCTTACCATCAGTCCCGCCCAGCCAGCGAGACCGGCTCTACTAGCTGAGAGGTATCTATAATGCCTCCCCCATCTACCAGAGGTATTAGAGACTGCTGTTGGGCGGGAAATGTCCGTAATTTGGCTCAGTGACCTCCTTTGGAGATATGAGGTTCTTTTACGTGCCGTAAAGCTATGACACGGGACCCACGGCTTAAAGTCCCTCCCGGAGGACTTGTTCCCTGAAATTTTCCGCCCTTAAAAATTCGACGACCTCTGCCAGGTATTTGAACCCGCGTACTACGAGTCATGAGGCGGGAACATTACCTCTAGACTACGGAGGCCGCTGCAGTGTGGCTTATCTGAGATATCAATAAAAACTAAGTACTTTCTGACTGGACCTCACAATGTGCAAGGCACTCCTGCAGAAAGTGGAAATACTAAATACTTGTTCATTAATTTATTCAATAATGGTTTCTAAATTACACACATTGTACCGAGCTGAATAGGAGAAAGACAGCAAAATTACGAATTGAGAAGGCAGTGGTGAAAGGAAGCCTCCTTTAAGGTACTATCTTACAAGTTGCATGGGAAAATTAAAGAAAACCAGAAAAAAATACCACTCAGTATAATCAGCATCCAGGGTAAGAAGTGAACCTGGAACCTCCCAAATATGAAGGAGTGCTACCAACTAAACTGAATTGCTTAAATGAGGTTCTCACAGTGATGACTATGGAGTGTACTATCTTCTGGGACATAATGCTGTATAATTTGATAAAATTCTCCTATATTTCAGAGGAATATATCTGCTTTTCAACCATGAAGATAGCGGCAGTATGTTTCTCTGAGATATCAGTAAACTTCCACCATACACAGCATTACATCCCAGACAAAAGTAATCTTCGACTCAACAAAATATTTGACGTACTTCATTCAAACTCTAGCCGAGGTGAAGAATGTACTGTCATGGGTTAATGACTAGACACGTAACTATGAGTACAAGTAATTATAATGCTCTCAACAATCCAAACACTCAACTTCTAACCACAGCATACACTAAGTCTTCACCGTTTATATTCACTGGCCATTACTTGGTTACAGTTCCCAACAATGCAGACTCCTCAGCCTCTCTGTTCACTGTCTCATAGTTAACTCATTACTCCAACTGTTTACCTTCAACTAACTAACTTGTCCCATTAATTCTTGTTGCACAGACTTGAGATGGACTGCACAGGAAACAGTCTGCAATAGTTCTACTGCTGCATGTTTATTCGTTGCCTAGCAAGGCTCACTTGTTTGATGACACAATAGCATATCTTGTACCAATGCTTTGCAAAGGATGTCTCCTGTTAAGCTATTTGGTCATGTGACTGTGTGTACAAAGTAAGTAAAGGTATCCCTGTAACAGGCCATGGAAGCCCATAGGATTATGAGATGTTGAGGTTCCCACATTTTCTAAACAATTGGCTCATAGATGGTGGTAAGGTTGTCAGACTTACGCACCGGCTGCACTTTACCCCCAAGAATATTCCTGGTACTCATTTCTGTTAGAGGCTGAGTTGACCCCAGGGCCATAGTGTGGCTGGAAGGTTTAGGTAAACTGAAAAAAAACCCACTTCATTGGGGTTCAATCCCATGACCTTCCAGCTTGTAGCATAGTGGTCACTATGTGTACCTCTCTTTTATTCAGATGGCATACTATATAACAATATAACAATGGTAGAGTTATGGCAGTCCCAAAAAAAGAAAAAACTTTTCACAAAACAAAAAATTATACAAGAAGTGTTTACAATATTTTGAATGAAAATACAAGAAGAAAGTCTTACCTATGACAGAGTTGTTATCTGCTCCAAAGGCACACACACACTGTGGTCCTCCTGGAACCTGGAACTTGCAGAAGCTCCAATTTGAACTGAAATATTTGGGTAGGAAAGTGGCGGATGCAAGGCTGCGACAAACAACAAAACATACATCCGACATGACACAGCAACACTATTGAACATTCATATTTTCTTTTACGTGGCATGCGGCATGGGCTGGTAACTACCTCCCTCTCCTTAAAAACATCCAGCCTACTGACCACCATAGCCTGTGTGTTATATGTTGCCATCCCATGCACTCAGAATATCTGTAACATCATAAACTTTGAATTCCTTTGTATGACTAATTTCTACAATACTCCGTACGCATTTAGCATTCTCTGAAACATTAGAATATAAACTTCGTATTTCATTTATTATTAATAACCATTTCGGATGTGCCATGGCTCAGGCGGTTAGTGGCTGGCTTCCCACCATGGCAGCCTGCGTTTTAGCCCAGGTCTGGTCATGTGAGATTTCTGGTGGACAAAGTGGCACAGGGGCAGATCTGTCATTTATTTATTGCATTCAAAGATCGATCATTGGTACAAGACCACAAGATATAGAACTTGTCACAGAATATACTACGTGCATCATAAGCAATAGCAAAATGACATACATTACGTTATATATATATATATATATATATATGCAACAAGCCATCATAAAATAA